AATTGTTACATGTATTAAATATTTAATAGAAACATTAGCTTGTTCAATAATAAATTTGTTTAAAATATTAATTTTTTGTATTAATTTTTGCATATTATACAAAATTTGGTTATTGCATTGACTACATAATAAATGTTATCTGAATTATAATTTTAAAATTATATTGTTATTAATAATTATTTTTAAATTTTTGCTACAAGTATCAATACACTTATAAAACAACAAAACTTTCTATATAAAAGCTATATTAAAAACAAAATATATATATTATACATCTTTCAAGTATGCCCGTGTAACCATGCGCCTTAAATCGATAATGTTTAGTGTTCTACATTACCGACGGGATTGCCGTTTCCCGCCTTTCTAACATATCTATACTTCTCCGGGCTAAGGCGTTCAAGCACATATACTATAGCTTGATATATGTGCACAGTGTATTAATACTTTTTACATATATGTGTTATCACATATATATAATATTCCTCAAACTTATAACGTTTACATCGTTTTCGTATGTCCAAAGTTTCATTGCGAATTATTAAAATCTATTTACATTAAATACTGTAATTTATGTAAGATACATTGCATCAAACATAGCATGACAATAATTGGTGACAAATTTCCAAAGATATTTTGAAATGTCGCCACATGAAGTGTATCGTAAATAGATGACATTCCCTAATGGTAAAGATGCAGGGTTAGATTAGATTAGGTTAGGTTAGGTTAGATGAAATCAATACTAATCTATAAATTACGTTTTTGCCTCGATAGGTAAAGTCGTGTTTCTACAATTTGTGATAGAATTGCGAATATTATATGTCAGAGCAAGGTGAAATCGATTGCTATAGTCGACGAGGAAGCACGCAACTCAATTTTACTAAAATGCACTCAGCATGCAGATACTCAGGAGAGTTGCTTTGCATCAGTGTCGTACTGGTTACTCGAATCTACGTTGGTATCAGTCACTGAACTGCTGTTCGTAAGCATACATGCATGCGAATCGATATACGTGTGCACGGAAATATATACATATACATATATATATATATATATATATATATATATATATATATATATATATATATATATATATATATATA